GCCCACTGCGCCACATTAAAGCGACCGACATTTGAGCGACCGACAACTGAGCGACCGACAGCTGAGCGACCCGACATTTGAGCGACCTACATTACTGCGAACGACATGAAACCTGAGTGAAGTTATGTGGTGAATAGTCATTATGTGATACAGTTACAGATATACAGTTTCGCATGATGATAACATGTTTTGTGTGAAACTACTTTTCGAACTCACTCTCATACTGCCCGCTCCCTCCCCCTTCCCACGATACACTGCCAAAAATACCCAAATGTGTACTACGAAAACTTCGTGCAAGAGTCTGGGTTCTGTTCGCGGTAATGTTGGTCGCTCAAATGTCGGTCGCTCAAACGTCGGTTCACGGAATTCCTTTTTATGATTTATTTTTGAGAAGTTTAAAGTTTTAACTGCTGAACTGTTATATTTTTTTTAAAAGAAATTAAACAGCAAACTTCAAACCAATAAAGGTTTAGTAACTTAAACAGTAATAATCTATGCTGTCTTCGCTTTCAGACATACATATGGATTGCGTATGATATATACAGAGTAGTTATACTGTTGAGGATTGTAAATAAATAGTTAGAATAAATGACTTTAGCCTTTTGTAAAGTACCGGGTGGGCCATATGGGTCTCTCAGTATTTTCTGTTTTTCTCGTGTTTCTCGTGCAATAATAATTTTTCTGCCGGTTGTCTTGCATTTTTTCATTACTTTTTAAATTCTGCATATGGTGGTGCTTTCAGTAAAAGTGCCATAACTTAAACAAAATAAAAGATTTTTTGATCGAGTTTGGGTTTTTTTGTCAGAAATGATTGCTCTTCTCTACGTAACTGCAAAATCCAAACTTCGATCATGTTTTCCGTTCTTGCTTGAACACATTGTTGGAAAAGGAGAGACTGTAAATTTTTAACGCATTTTTGAAACTTTGTTCTCGAGCACACCATCTGCCCTAAACATTTTTTTACAATCCATGAGAAAGAGCACATTTGAAAGTACCAAACACATACTCTGTTCTCACTTTTGCTACACTTTTTTTACGGAAATAATAGCAGAAGAAAAAGTTCAAGTCAAAAAAATATCAAATTTACAAATTTGATCTTTTTGCCGCTCGCATAAGCTGCGTAGTTTTCTTGATTGAAGTTCTGAAATTATAGTTTGGGTGTGATTTTGTAGAGCATCTCGCGGCGCATCTTGTTAACCTTAGGGTCTGAAAGAAACATAAAAAGATAAATAGAAAATACTGAGAGGCTCATCTTTTATGGCACACACGGTACTGAACCACCGTAGAACTTCGGATATATCCCATAGATATAGATTTATAAGCAAAGATTTATAAACAACAAAGTTTAACCTTCAATTTTTTATGAAAGTTGCTTTGACGTAATATTACGTCAATAACAGTTAAGTGATTAATCTGTTTTTCTTGAAATAAGGTAAATTTAATCTCACACGACATTTTCATCGAATTAAAGTGACGTCTAACAGCCACATCATTCTTTTGTGTATCATAAACGAATATCCTGTTTACTGCATTGTAGACGGTCGTCGCTTCTCAAGCGTCAGAAAAAAATCTAGTATCGCCCGATTCATAGCATGAGACAAACAACATACACATAAATTTGGATTTCCACATCGCCTGATTTGACGTAACCTTCATCGAAGGCTAAATATATACACAGATATAATATGTGTAGAGTATTCCACAAAGATAGCGCCCGCTCTGTAACTCAAGAATCATGAAAGGTAGTGGCTTTTCATTTTGTGCGGTTGTAGCTTTCACTAAATGTCAATCACCCCACCAGCATGAGCATGTTTTCTGAGTGAGATTTGAGCGTTTCATTTGTTTTCCGTAAAATATCAAGAACTCCTGATCTAAGAGGGTTGATAACTTTTCTTTTGACCATAGGCGGCGGAGCCCTTAGACTTGGGGTGGCTTAGATATTTGATTTTCTTTCATCATCGTTTGAAAATAGTTTTTGAGCCTCCTCTAGGTTAGAATCGTTCCGCCACCTATGCTTTTGACGAAAATGTAGCCACAACTCTGCCCTATCTACGATATAAATTTCGTAATTTAGCCGTTAATGGTCAGTGAAATCCAGCAATTTTACGGGCGAGGATCGCTTTTTTTTGTTGAAAATCCATGGTCCTTTGCGGAAAAAAATTCGCAACTCAGTCTAGGAGCATCATTTTCACTTCAAATTAGCACCAAAGGCTCTACAGTGTCTGTACACTATCTATCAAAAGCATGAACATTAACTATTGTGTGGTTCACCAAATTCATGGAAGACGGACATCCATGACTCATCCATTGAAACATACGTAGAAGAGCGAGGATGAGATACTAAGGATTTCTCTCTCTACAATAGAAACTGCATTCAATGTACACCATAATCATGACAAAGTATCATGGAAACCTAGGGTTCCGAAGAACATAGGTAAAACTTTTGCCAGAAAGATTTCACAGTCACCTCTGATCTTGACTATATTCATTTATTTAGCGCCGTTTTCACCTTCCTTATATTTTTCAAGCAAAACTAATAACATATTTGAAATTAGCAGACCAAACTGGATCGAATAGCATACTTAACATTCGGTTGTTTGAGCAAAAAGTTTTCGTTGAAAATTTTCAGCCTAGCATCAACTTTTTCTTCTAAACAATATCTTCGACCATCTGTTTCTTTTATCCTCGGAGCAAAGGCGTTGATCTCATAAAACATAATAACAGTGCTCAAGAGAGATGTGCACTTTGTAATCGATCTTGCCTTCTTATTTCGTACTTCAGGCTACCTCCGAAGTTACTGATATTTAGACGGGAATATCCTTTAACGCAGTAGAGTATAAAATCCCACTCTAGGCTGAACAAATTGAACATTAGTATAATTTATTTTACTAGATAACTGTTCAATTTAAAATTAAAAAGTACTCTTTTTATTGAGGCGAATAGTGATACTTAACAAAGGATCTCTCTAGACATGTCTTTATTGATCTAAACTTTGAACATGATCCTAGCATTGATAAAAGAAATCAACTCAAGCCGTAATGGAGATATTCAATTGTTTTTGGTAAACTGACTTTTGAGCCACTCTGTATTTACTTGGTTCAATGCGCATTGAATCATATTCAAGATATTGTCAAAAGATTAAAATTGGTCAATATATTGATGTTTGACGAATTCACTCTCATTGTTTCTTCTCTCATTTATTAGGATAACATCTGATCGAATGAAAAATCTGTTTTTGAAAGTAATTTTTCTCAGGTTTTCTTTTCAGATCATAAAAAAATATGTCAAATTTTTGTCATGATTGACATCTATAACTAACCCGTGGACCATTTCCTAAATGGCCGATACCTAGATTCAAACTCAAAGTGTGTATTTTTAATCAAAAACATAGACTGTTATTGACAAAGATCATTACTATAAAAGCGTTCGTAGAAAAAGAAAAATTGAATTTAAGCTTATCTTCTAATGTGGGTTAACTTTTTCGCTGCTGGCTTGAAATGTGAATTCGAATTGAATCGATGATTTTTTCACTCTCATTGCTTTGTAACGCACACGTTACAATCATTACGGTTGATTTCTTTTGTTTGTCGATTGAACATACCAAATGCTGTCTGTCGAATGATCAAGCAAAGATATGAGAACACTAGTCAACAAATCCATTTGGAGTTTTTCTCTCAATGACAGTTTTGGACGAAGATTTTGCATATACCTACACATTTTGAGGATTTCTATTCTACGAACGAGAGTTTCAGGCATTAAGCTGTGAATTCTCGCGACCGCACTTTTTATTTTTGTTTTCAAAACACGACTTTGAGCTACTCACTCACTGTTTCAGAAATAAATTTTTCTCTGCTTAAAGAAATTTTTCTATGGTCAAAGTCGACTTTGACCACGACAAAATTGTTTTTTTCTTCCTTCTAGCTTCTAAAATCCGAAAGCAAGCTAAACCACTTCTTTTCATGAAGCAAAAATCCATTTTACTTTCACATATTGTGCAAAAATGCACCCCAATACCAACTCAAGATACTTTGTCTTCGTGAACAAATTCCGTCTCTTTTGGTTACTTTTACTCCTAGAAGGTCAAATTTGCAGTTTTCTTGACCTTTTCAGCAAAAATATTGATCATTCTTGATAGTTAAGGCCAATTTATTGACTTAAGTCACTCAATTCGATGTCCTAAGTTAAGTAAGAAATGAAGTTTGACTTAAGTCAAAAATCAGACTTAAGTTTTCTGATGAAACTGGCTCAGACGCTCAAGTCATAGTGGTCGATGTCGGATCTGATTGGTTTACTTCTTCAACCAGTCAATAGATGACTGACCATGATCGAACGGCCATTTCTGTATGTCATCATATTCACCTCTCATTAAGACAAAGAAGAGTGACATGTGTGTTCTCCTTTTTGCATTTCATCACCAAGTAGAAATAGGCGAGCTCTTATTTTATAGCCACTTGGAGATGAATAGAATGGTGGCAAATAAATTGACAGTTGATGTTCCAATTGGGCATTGACTATTTTATCAGAAACTTCGTCTATTTTCCATGTGAGTGTGCCGTCATACGAAGTATTTTGTGCCAGACGAATACTCTCCTTTATAATGTCCAATTATTGTTTCAGTATTAGTTGATTCAAATTTATTCCAGACAAGAACTCGTCTGTTTTATCAACTGAAACTTTTATTTTATTGTTCACGGATTGTATTATTTCAAAAGCGTGTTGTAATTTTGTGTGTCAAGTACAGTAACATCTTGATGAACTGACATCAATTCATCTTCTGATCTATTAAATAATCGATTATTTGGATAAAATTTCGATAGCTCTTGGAAGTTTGACAACGATACTTCTCTTTGATGTTCTTCATTTGACGTCTGTTTCCCTCCCTGAATAACGTAAATAAATAATATAAATTTAAAAAAATTTACTAATAAATTAAAAACTTATATAACTAAATAAATATCTATCTTCAGTGCGTAGTGAAGAGACAATCGGAGTATTCGAAAATGTATGCGCGTTTCACTAGATTTCCAGACAAGCGTGTGTTGAAACGCGCTTGAACACATGCATTGCAAGATTTATGCTAACAAAGACTATTTAAAACAAAATATAGTCACACTTGCTTGTTTTAAAAAAATGTCGAAAGCAGGCATTCAAACGCACTAGCAACAATGGATCAAAACAGAGGTAAAAACCAGTAGGAGATGGGTCTCAAATACAGTGCTTGTCGTAAAATGCGTGTAAAATCATAAAAAACCATCGCAAAGAGCTCACCGACATCTCATTTTGTAGAAAAATATTTGCTCCACATCTGCAATGGCTCAGAAAAGGTTTGTATGTCCAGATCTTTGGGATTTGTAACAAAATTTAGAAAAGCAAGAAAATTATGAAACCTACTACGAAAGAAACTTGTGTTTCAATGGCAAACTTTGTTTCGCGTTTTTCTCGAAATGGATTTTTCAGTTTTTTATTGTTCTTATTTTAAAGATTCCTCGGCCATTTTACACTCCAGAAAGCTCGAGAACGCCTTAAATTGAAGACAAAATTGCGCTCTACAACCTAACAGGGTCGGATTTTTCATTTTTGGACTACTTGAAAAAGCTAAATATTTCTCAATAAGGGTACCCCTAATTTTTCAGATCTTTTCAGAGAAGTTTTTACCAGAAGTAAAGAAATAAAATTTTGCAAAATCCGGCGATGTTAAGTTGTAGCGGCAGGTCTTAGCTACATTTTGACACGAATCTGAAATCTACATCATTGGAGTTGGAGGAGAAATCCTTAAAATACGGAAACAGGTTTTTTTACTCTTAATTCTATAATAACTCTTGAAAGCTCAATATTTTGGACTGAAATTTCTACTGTAAACTACTTACATCCGGATATTCCCTGGAAGTTTCAGCCGGATTGGTTGTTTTGAAGCAGAAATAGATTTCTGAGTGGGGTGGGAGGGGACCTTAAATTACGTTTAGGTTTCAGTAATCGAGTATTGGCAACAGTTTTTTCATTTTCTTCCAAACGTCAAGTTGGACATGTAATTCAAAATGCCAAGGTTGCATTACTTCGTGATTTTGTTCACCATTATCTTGGATTTCAACATATAACAAGAGATGAAGTCATTCGTAATCATACAAGAGCATTAGTTAAAAAATTATTGCTTGATGGACGTGATGGAATTGTATTAATTTTAGATGGCACTTATGTATATTGTCAGAAAAGTGCCAATAATGCCTTACAATGATGATTATTTAGTATGCACAAAGGAGGTCCTCTTGCTAAACCAATGATGGCAGTTAGACCTGTAACAGTTCCAGCTCATAAGTTCAGCTCATTTGAGCGAAAGAACTGTTGAACAGCTCTTTTGAAAGGAACTGAGCTTGAAAGATTTTCTCGCAGAGAAGTAGAATGGCCACTACAGATGTGATAAAGTTAGACAAATCTCGTACAGAAAACGTAAATAGAAAACTTTCGAATTTGTATAACGAGAAAAATTGACCATTTTACATGCTTCTATTTATGATTGCAAGACTTCGCTGATATGAACGTCTAATGAACATTCGGGACGTTTAAACTTTGTCTAGACGACTACTGTGTTGAGATTTACATGCAGATCAGATACGTATTGGTAGCTTCTAGGCACAAATTCTTCAACAAAACAAAATCTTCATGCTTTTATAGCAGTTGTATGTGCTTTAATTAATAAATTTCACCCACCATTTGTGCAAAATACTTCACATGATGATTTAATTGCTGAAAAAAATGCTTTCATTACGTCATAAACCTAATAAATTACAACTGTTGTTGGATGATAAAGAATTTAAAAAAGCCAAACATTGGAAAAAATTAATGCTCTTGATGCTGCTCCTGATTTTCCTGTATTAACACAAATTGAATTACAAGATATTACATTAAGAGTTTTTCAAATTAAACAGGCAAAATCTTACAGTGCTGAACATATAAATGAAGATAGTCAATATGAAATTCTTGTTGCTACAGATAAATTCAAATCTCTTACGTGGTAATATTCAAATCAAAACATACTAATCGAAAAAATTATAATGTACGGCCATTCCACGCGTACCAGCCAAAAAACGTAAGTCCGTTACGTTTTGTGAAAGTCATAGCTCTTCAGCCGAGCAACATACACAGTTGGGGAACGCCTTATTTTGTAACCTAAAGATTTTTCTTTCAAATGGTAATTAAGCAGAGTCTAACTCTACCCTAAGGACCTGCTCCTAATTCGTGCCAAAAAAAGCCACTTTGTACAAAAGTGACGTGTAGCTAAAACATTATGTTACTTAAATTAATCGACTGGTAGACTTTGCTTGATTACCATTTGAAAAAAAAATCTTTAAGCTACAAAATAAGACGTTTCCCAACCCTGCACGTTGCTCGGCTGAAGAGTTATCTATCTCACAAAACGTCACGGACTTACGTAAAAGTGGACTTTTACGTGGAATGGCCGTGTAGTAGTTGAATATAGCAAGAAAACAATTG